TCGATAAAGGCCGAATTAATTGACGGCTAATGACAGTCTATCATTACATATAATCAGTCAAAAAATAGGGGGAAAACGAGTGAAAGAGGAGCTAAAATTATGAAGAAAGACCCAAGAATGAGTGAAAATAACCAAGTATGGAAGAATGAAACTTAGTGAAAAATCTGATTGAAAAGGGTGAAAAAACACGCAACTACTAGAATAATAATGCACAGTATTGTGCGCCATCGCATGCACGATAGAGGCGAAAAGGATGCATCGCACGCGAGATGCTTTCGTAATGTGCATGATGGTTGCTTTTTCTGACCCGTTCTGACAGCTTTAAAAGGGGATTTTCTGCACTTTTTTAAGGATTATGATTTTTGGAGACTAAAGCACGAGTTTGGGAGCTCAAAAGGAGATTTTTAGGGCATTTGAAGCCATTGGAAGCCATCTCTTCAAGGAACTTCTTATGTTATTTTCATCTACCAACTGTGGTATTTTCTCTGAATAATATGTAGCTATATTCTCTTAGGTTAGGTTGTATGATGATGAACCTTATTCAATCTTGTTGGCATCTATTAGCGTGAGATTTTCAATTTAGTTTTTCTACATGAGTGTGAGGTACGAGGTGGATATAAATACTAAGTGTAAGTAGCTAAGTCATGTTGTCAACACCAAGTTACAAATTTGATAAATGGAGTTTTCTCCAGATATGGTTGGGTGATTTGAGGGCATTTTTCGACAGCAGTGATGGTTTAAAGCAATTCAAGAACAAAAGACACCTGGAAACACATTAGAAGACAAAATCCCACGTGGAAGATACATGTCAAATGTTGGAGACATATCCGTTGTTGATAGTTATTGATGTACATATTATATAAGTAGATTTTATTTATGTTATGAGAGTTCACATTTCATTTTATTCTCTTTAGATTTCACACATCCAAGTCACAAAGATAAAGAATTAGTGATAAATGTATGAACATACCACCCACTTTTAATTCGAGCATTCTTTACCCACTTGTTATACTTTTTAATTTTTGTTCTTTATCTCTTTTATCCATTCAAGTACTTCTGCATTTATTTCCTTACGTTGGAAAACCTTTTAGCACCATCACACTTTTCTTAAACTTTTAGCATAAACTATCTTTTAGGATTTTTCAAGTTTGATCCTTCACTACGGGGTAATTATATTGTTGGACTTTCACAAGAAGATCATTGCCTCCCTACAGGATAATTACATTTCTAGGCTTACACAGGAATATCCTTATCATCCTACGAGGTAATTCATTGTTGGACTTCCTAAGGAAGATGCTTACCACCCTACGCGGTAATTGAATTGTTGGCTTCCTATAGAGAAGTCCTAGCCATCTACGAGCAACTGGATTACGAGGATCTTTTCAAACCTTAAGAAAGACTTAAATAAAGTCTCGCTAGGATGACTCAACTAAATATCGCCTGAGAGACTGAGCTAATTCTTCTTTGAGGGAATCAACTAAGTCTCATCAAGAAGACTCAACTTAAGTCTTGCCTGAAGGACTCAACTAAGTTTTGCTATAGGGACTCAACTATGTCTCACCTGAGGGAGTCAACTAAGTCTCATCAAGAAGACTAAATTAAATTTTCATCAGGAAGACTCGACTAAATCTTGCATGAGGGACTCAACTAAATCTCGCCCGAGGGACTCAACAAAGTCTTGTCAGGAAGACTCAACAAAAGTCTCATTTGGAATACTCAACTAAATCTCGCATGAGGGGTTCAACTAAGTCTTGCCCGAGGGACTCGGCTAATTTTTGTGAGGAAGACTCAATTAAAGTCTCTCTTGAGAAACTCAACTAAGTCTCACCTGAGGGATTCACCTAACCCTCATCCAAAAGGATCATCTGAAACTTCGAGAATTGAAGGCAGGAATAAAGCTTCAACTAACCTCCCGAGAAAGGCCTGAACATGAGTCAAGGGTTAAAACACCCCGAACTCTACGAGCTCTCGTGCTTAAGGGACTATGTAGTGGTATAATTGGAAAGACCTTGAAGGTGGGGCGAAAGGCATACGCTTAGCCTACCATCCTTACCAATTCGCCTTTTTATTGGTTCGAGTGCTCCTCTTTAGAATAATGTGCCCCTTCTTCGGATACGTTGCTCGGGACCTTGATGTCTCTGTCCATAACACACGATTATGCGTAATACGTGTATTAGGTCAAAGAATGTTGCATTGAGGGTCGTGGGATTCAACTACGCTTCCTAGATTTTAGGGAATCGACTATCCACCCTAGGTTGGTTGCAATATCCTAGGGAGACTGGGATCTAGACCCAAGGGATTATAAATACCTTAATATCGTGATGCACTAGAGGAGGAAGTAAAAACACATATGAAATACATTGATACGGTAGCTTCTCACATCCCGTGAGCTAGCTCTCACTACCCCCGACAACTCTAAAGCCTTTGACAATCCTTATTCACTAAAGATTGTTATGCATTTGTACTTTTAGCGAATGCACTTTGTATATTATCAAATTACTTTGAATTCGTGTGATAATGTAAGCTTGTTGAAACTTTATAGTCTACATTAAAAGTCTGTAAGGAGAAAATACATATTGTAAGAAAAGATCATTCAAGCTCTTGAGCTTCAAACAAAAAATTTCACAATTTATAAAGACGGAAATAACCATTCGCAATAAACTAGAATAAATCTCCATGTGATTTTTCTTAACTCTTATCATTTTAATTAAACTTATTTTATATACATTCACACACAATAGTTATTACATTATTGATTCTTTTCACATATTATTTAATAAGTTTGTTTTTAGTAATATAAAAAAATCACTATTCAACCTCATTCTAATGACATTTACATCTCTTTCACCTTTTACTAACTTTTTTTTGTTACTATTAATGTTGGATATTCCAACTCCATACTTTTGAGTTAATAAATTTAACATCCTTTATTAAAAATAGAATATCTGAGAAAACATATAAACGATGATATTTTTTAAATTTAATTGTAATATATATATACAAGTTTTATTATTATTACATTACAACCATTTATAAACGTTATTTTAGAGAGAATTAAAATAAAATTTAAACTCAATTTCTTTTAACAATTAGATTGGATTTAACTAACAATATAAAATACAAGGTTAGATATCAATTAAATTTTATATTATTCCATCTTCTATTATAGATAAATTTTATTTTTTAAATTTATTAAATAATTAATGTATGTAATATATAAATCAAATACATTAATTTTATAATAAATTTAAAAAATAAAATTTGTTCATAATATGAGATGGAGAGTATATTTATATATAGATTTTTGATCAAATATATAATGGTTTTAATGATTTTCATAAATTAAAAATTTAATTAAAATTTTATCCGACCCAATCTTACCGGTTGGAAGAAGAATGGGTTGATCCGAATAGACGGATAGCGGCATGAAAAGCGATACAATACAAAGTATTTTCACTTGTGTATGCTATGGTCCTCTTCCTCTCGCCGTTTCCGGTCACCGGTTCACGTCATCCTCTTATGAACAAGATAGAGGTAACGCTCTCTCGCTTCGCTTCAGAGATTTTGCTCGGTGTCACTAGATTTAGTTCTATTATTTCATGTATGCAGTGTTTTGAATTATAATTGCCTTTGCAAGCAAATTCATGATTAGGTCATGTTTTCTTGCACTAAATGCTTTTCCCCAACACTAGGTTTTCTGTTTAGGGATTTCAGTACTTAGAAATTTAGAACATTATATAATGCAATTCAAACCTCAGTTTTTATAAAAATGATTCATTATAATTCTCTGGTAATGGTGCTAATTCGAAGTATACAAAATTACAAACCTAGAAAAGTTATTCCCAAATTTGGCAGCAAATTAAAATATGATAGTTTTTCCATTGTGGAACCAGAGTTGTTCCGTGAACGGTGAAGTAGTGCTTCCTTATGGCGGACTTGAGCTTTCGGTACGGTGGAGATGAGATTGACCCGCAAGGTTAACACTCCAACGTCAAAATCAGTGAGAGAATGAGAAGTGTTGTAAGAATGGATTTAATTACCTGAGAATGATGTGCTTTCTCTCTTATATAGTGGGAGCGGTTTAAACCGAAAGTGTGGAGCACGGTCAGCTGTCTGATTGATCTGGACAGTTGGTAATGCCTCAGAGAGGATAGAGGAACACCTGTTTCTCGCATGTGCTTCCTTTCTTTGCCTCTGGGTTTTTTGTCCCGGGCCTCGTGAGCCGCCCAGAATAATAGTTGTAAGATATACGAAACTAGTTTGAAAGATCTATCTTTTTTTTAATTCTCATAAACTGGTTTTGTTGAAGAAAGTTTTTTGTTTTGTTCCTATAAGTATAACTCAAATGATAACTGCATCCGCAAATCTCCACTTCTTAAAACTTAGTGTGTGGGTTTTGCTGCTCGGCTCTTTGGAACTAAAAACAAAAGGAAAACACTTTATTTAAAGAAAATAAAGATGATCTACAAAGTCTTTTATTTTAAATTTATTTCATTTTTGGTTCTTGTCATTTACTACAGAATTATGTGTATCCCTAGTTTTTACAAATACAATAACATCAAATCAAAGTTTTTCTCCGCGAGGTGTGGTTGGTTGCATGGATTAAACAATACCGCAATAAGTCTGCTATGGCGAAGAGTTCAGGCAATCCATTAGAAAGAATAAAATGCTATTGTGCAGATTGTGAAGAAAACAAATCATGTTTCTCGTTTAATTTGCAATCACTTTGAAGATGCAGATGAAACATGGCTGGAAATCGCTGTGATTGTTGTTGACTGCCAATTACAACCCCCTTTATATTATGCAATAAAATGCGGCCAATATATTATATAGTTTGAAATATTACTGATGATGATTTCTAGTTTAACGAATGAAGCACCCTGTGAAACTCTGCATTTAACTTTTTTAAGACTTTGAACTGATGCAGATTAGGAGCCTGATAACACAATAAACAAATCTGAAGACTCGTACAACTGGTTAAGAATTACTGTTCAAAATAAATGGCTTGTCAAATGGGATCCATGAATCTGCAGTGGAGATTATCAGTTATAGAGAATGAAGGTTCAAAAAGATCATTTACACCCTTTGCAACTTCTAGAATCTACCGATGTTGTTGTGAGTCAAGTTTAAGTGGCGTAACTCCAAACGTTGGCATGAACTCTTCCTCTTTTTCTCAGAGCCGGTAACTGAACTTACTTTATCGTTATATATTTTCACTTGTTTTAAAATGAAGGTGACATTTTATTATAGTAGTTATTTGCATTATATAATCTTCATTTGATTTATGTAGCTAATGCCACCTAGTTGAAAAAAAACTTTGTTTATTATTGTCAATACTTTTCTGTATTTGAAACTCTTTTATCTTAGAGTATCAAAAATGTATATCATGCATTCTATCCCATTAAAGTATAGCTATTAAAAACAAGGATATCACAAGTTTAATTGACTGCATTGTTTTGATTAATTGGATTTTTCGGGTATTCTTCTCACTCTACTGCTGAGGAAGGAAAATGGTTCTTTTTTTCCATAGCAATACCGATTGTTTTAATGTTTTTCAATACCTTGGTTCAGTTTCCTGGGAAGAAGAGCCGGGTGGAAAGTAGTGTTAGCCTTGAACACAGATGGATTGTCGGGTAACGATGAGCAACAAAGCCTCAACGATTCTGGTTCCAGTTTTGGTGGCACTCGATTGGGTAGGATACTGAGTGCAGGTGGCAGACAACTTCTTGATAAGCTGAATTCAGCTAGAAAGAACTTCCCTATGAAAATATTCCTGGTACTTTTGGGTTTCTACACGGCAAATGCGCTTGCTACAATCCTTGGTCAAACCGGGGATTGGGATGTTCTGGTTGCCGGTATTGTAGTGGCAGCAATAGAGGGAATCGGTATGCTAATATATAAAAATCCAGCTACTAGGACTGGGAGGTTGCAGTCTTTTCTAGTTATGGTGAACTACTGGAAAGCAGGCATATGTTTGGGCCTCTTTGTAGATGCTTTCAAGCTAGGCAGCTAAGGACCAGAAACCTGTCTCTCTTGGTCTCTTCAATTTATCGTTGTATTGTATAACCATGGTAAGCCATAAGTGCAAAGATGCTTTTCTTGTAATGCTACCTTAGTTCTATTGATAATTGGTGCATATGAAATTGTATTATATGAATACCATTGTTTAATGATGCATTATGCTCGGTGCGCTGTTGCATGTGCTTCTGTGATGGAGAAATTGTCGCATTCTTGACTCAACCTGAATTGATTCTGTTGTATATTTATTTCAGAAATATTTGATCGCAGTGGTGCTAGTTTGAGCTCATAACATTCCACTTATTCATTTATAAGTGGTGAAATTTTGACTATTAACTATTAAGCAAAAAAATCAAAATTATTTTTTAAAACTCTAGTTAATCCATGCTAGGCATGTGTACCAAACTTGTTAAAAAGAAACTGAATTTAAGGACCTCTTTAAAAATTTGCTAAAATACTTGCAGGCTGGTCATTAAGTTTTACAAACTCAATTGAAGATTTCTTAAGCCACATTGTGAATTTTCAAAAATATTCTCTGTTTTCGGAGATATATCACCCCTTCATTCGTTTTTGAATCACACTTTAATTTTATGAATAAATTTATTTTAGAAATATATTTTTGGAAAATTTTTGAAATTATATTTTTGAAAAAAAATATGAATTGTATGAAGGGACTTGCATTAGCTCAAAGACACATATATTACTGCCTCTTCAATTTAATATAATTAGTGAGGCCAGACACTTGCGTATAAATTGAGTACATGAGTACATGTTAATTGTGGCTTTATCATCATCTTTCTTATTGTCGGTCATCATTTAAAGCTTTTGAATCAATTGTCTTGGCTTCATACAATTTATATTTTCTTAGCTTTAGAAAATATAATTTCGGAAAATTTTTAAAAATATATTTTTAAAATAAATTTATTTATAAAATTATGATGTGATTCAAAAATAAATAAAATATGTATTAAAATGTATCCGAAAATATATCTCTAAAAATATGAATATTTTAAAAAATCGCGAGAAGGCTTAAAAACATAAATAAAATAAGAAACTCTCATTCAATTTCAATTTCTCTAATGAACTTTTTATTTGATTGTGACAATTACTTTTATGTGTTTGGTTGATGTAATTAGCAACTTGATTATCATAGTAGAGTTTCATCTTAGCAGTATAATCAAATTTCATATGGCTAACTAACTATTTCATCTATGTAAGCTCACATGTAATTGATAAAAAAATGGGAGAGGATACATAATGGGATCAATTCTTGTTTGGTACCTAGTTGGGGTACAACTGTTCTAACTTCTAACATTAGAGAGTTGTTCAATCCATCCTCTAAATAACGCGGGGTTATTACAAAGTTCATTTCAATTATGTACTTTTTTTTCTTCAAAATATACTATTAAAAAGATTTTTTAATAATATATTTTATACAAATTTGACAAAGAGAAATTCTCAATCCCCCTCTTAAAATTTTTAAATTATATATATATATATATATATATATATATATATATATATATATATATATATATATATATATATATATATATATATATATATATATATATATATATATATATATATAATATATATATATATATTTAAAAGAATCCTATTAAAAAAACTCTTTCGAAAGAATATTTTTGATAAATTATTTTTTATGTGCTAAAGTTAAAATGCTAAACTGTAGAGTTATTATAAAAAGTAATACGAGAAAAATGTATTCTATCTTAAAGAAGAAAAAATGATACATTTTTAAAATTATGTAAGGATGCCTTACTATCTAGTGATCAATTTATATTTTATTCTATCGAATCACATAGATATTTTAGAATTAGTTATATGATATAATACAATAATGATTTTTTTGAGTTTTAAATTAAAAATACTAAAAGTAAATTTCGATTTGTATTAGTAATAATAGTATGAAGGAAAACAATTGGTCGATAAAACGAGTAAAAACGTGTAAAGCAGTATGAGATGAGTTATTTTGGACAGTGGAGCGTTAGTCTCGTTAGTTTGGCGCTAAAGACGTGTTCAGCTTCAAATCTCTCTCAATCCTTCCTTATTCCTCTCCTCACTCACTCCTCAAATTCTCTCTTATCTTTCTCTTCACATTTTATTCCAATCTCTCTCTCTCTCTCTCTCCCACATTCTTCTTCTTTCAATCTCAATCTACCATGGATGAAGAGTATGATGTAATCGTCCTCGGCACTGGCCTCAAGGAGTGCATTCTCAGCGGTCTGCTCTCCGTCGATGGCCTCAAAGTATTCCATTTCATTCTCTCTCACACTCTTTACGTAATTGTAATCATTTTTCCATAATTTACTGATTCGTGTTCATGATGATTATGTTCAGGTGTTGCATATGGATCGCAATGACTACTATGGAGGAGGTTCTACGTCTCTTAATCTTACGCAGCTGTTCAAGCGATATAGGGGAGATGACAAGCCACCAGAGGGTTTGGGCTCAAGCAGAGAATACAATGTTGACATGATACCTAAGGTAACTCGCTCTTATTTTCATGACCTATATAGATCAGCATAAAGATTGATATCAGGTGGAAAAATATTGCAATTTGCTTCATGTTCTCTTTCATGCATTATATAGCTTTTTTTCTCAAACTTTTCTCTAACATGTCTTTCATTTCGATTCATTTACGGCGAAATAAACTTTTCAACTGTTTTGTGGTAGTTTATGATGGCCAATGGAGCTTTGGTTCGTGTGCTCATCCACACAGATGTTACAAAGTATTTGAATTTTAAAGCTGTAGATGGAAGCTTTGTTTATAATAAGGGAAAGGTGTGCATAGTTGCGTTTTTTTGAAGTTACAAGCTTTATGTTACATGAAAACTTATGGCAGCATATCTGTCTATTGATTTTCAGATTTACAAAGTCCCAGCAACAGATGTTGAAGCACTGAAGTCACCTTTGATGGGTCTGTTTGAGAAGCGCCGAGCTCGCAAGTTCTTTATTTATGTCCAAGACTATGAAGCAAACGATCCCAAATCTCACGAAGGACTTGATTTGAACCAAGTTACAGCAAGGCAGCTGATTTCGTATGTATCTACAAGCCACATATGATCTACAAGAAATCTCGATTATTCTAACTCTATTCATTACTTTTATTCAATCTTCTACATTCTTATTGATTTGTCCAAATGCAGGAAATATGGATTGGAAGATGATACAATTGACTTTATTGGTCATGCTCTGGCACTTCATCTTGATGACAGTTACTTGGATAAGCCAGCCAAGGATTTTGTCGACAGAGTTAAGGTATTGATTTGCAAATTATCCTCATTTGTTTTTATGCAGTGATCTGTTGTGAAAGACTGTCAGTTTTTTTGTAGACCGCAGTTGAATATAAACTTCCAAGATAAGTACTAGACGATAGTTAAATTTCTTTACCATCTTCTAGAATTTAACATCATATAATGCTGTTTGTTTTGTATAGGTTTATGCAGAATCCCTCGCGCGCTTTCAAGGAGGTTCACCTTACATATATCCACTATATGGACTTGGAGAGTTGCCTCAGGTTTTCCATATCTATTTTCACTTTTAAGTTTAATATACTTACGAAACTAACTTCGATACCTTTGATTACTCGAAGGCATTTGCACGTTTGAGTGCTGTGTATGGTGGAACCTACATGCTGAACAAGCCAGAATGCAAGGTAAGTTTGTGATGATACTTTTATATTCTGGAAAATCAGTTGAATTAGGAAAACTCTGTGATGACTCTTTTCTGTTGTGTATTACACCTCACATTTTAGTATTCTGGTACATAGGTTGAGTTCGACGATGCTGGAAAAGCCATCGGCGTGACTTCAGAAGGAGAAACAGCAAAATGCAAGAAAGTCGTGTGTGATCCATCTTATCTGTCTGATAAGGTATTGGAGATGTTAATTTGCAACTTTGTATGGATTTCTAAACTGTGATCTTTACCTGACACCATATAATCAATCCAACAGGTTCAGAATGTTGGAAAAGTTGCGCGTGCCGTATGTATTATGAGCCATCCTATTCCAGACACTAATGATTCTCACTCAGCACAAGTCATTCTGCCACAGAAGCAACTTGGTCGTAAATCGGACATGTAAGTTTGGTTTGAACTTCTAACTTCTAAGGCACTTTCTTAATCTTAATTCGAAGCTAATTGGTTTGTGATTTCATTAATTATTGCAGGTATCTTTTCTGCTGCTCTTATGCTCACAATGTTGCTCCAAAAGGAAAATATATTGCTTTTGTTACAACAGAAGCAGAAACTGACCAACCTCAGGTTGAATTGAAGCCTGGAATTGATCTTCTTGGACCAGTAGATGAGATTTTCTATGACATCTATGACAGATATGAACCCACCAATGATCATGCTACTGATGGTTGCTTCATCTCTACAGTAAGTACTGAGAAGAGTCTTTGATAAACATGTTTTCTTTTTAAAATTGTACTAACCTTAAATTAAATCCTTGTAGAGCTATGATGCTACCACACACTTTGAAACCACTGTAAAAGATGTGGTTGAGATGTACAGTAAGATCACTGGAAAGGTATGTAAAAATTTCAGAAAAATCATATATCTAAGGTAGACAATGTAATGTAACACTAAATACCCAGATTTATTTATCTTGATCATATGGATTTTTTTTCAGGTTCTTGATCTTTCTGTTGATTTGAGTGCTGCAAGTGCCGCAGCTGAAGAATAAGATTTCTTGCAATTATAAGGATAAAAGCATATCACGTTATTTTGTTTCTAATTCTATTTGTCTTTGTTTAGATGACTTAAAGGAAAGATAAACAACATACCCGTTGTTCCTTTTGTTTAATTGATTGGATTTTTGTGCCCATAAGTGACTGCATTAGTTTGTAGTTTCTGCAATATACATTGTTTTTTTTTTTAAATTTAAATTTAATAAGTTTAAGTTACTATTCCCTCAATCCTATAAGCACATTTTAATTTGTTTATATATATATATATATATATATATATATATATATATATATATATATATATATATATATATATATATATATATATATATATATATATATATATATATATATATATATATATATATATATATATATATATATATATATATATATATATATATATATATATATATATATATATATATATATATATTACATTTAATTTATCCATTTTGTGTGTAAATTTCCTATCATATGTGTATTAATTACAACTTTTTATTTATTATTATTTTTTTAAAAAAAACATTAAAATAAATGCATCAAAATAATGACATATGAACTTATATTTAGAGACAACTTCTTTTCTAAATACATTATAACTAGAGATGAAGGAGTATTTAATAACTAAATACATTAGGGGATGTGTGAAAGGCGTATCCAAGATTGTTTGGGTGAGGTGGATTGATGTGTGCAAACTAAAGAAATTAGGTGATCTCGGTGTTCGCGACCTTCATTTGATTAATTTGGCACTCTTGGATAAGTGGAGATAGCGGTTAATCTCGAGTGCTTTAGTCCTCTTGTGTGATTATTTCTGTTAAATATGTAGTTACTTTGTTTTCTTTCATATTGGTGACACGCCGCAAATGTACAACTGTATCGAAGTAACATAAAATCTATCATTCCATTGAGATCAATTATGATTACTGAATTATATTAAATCTTTGTTTAGATAAGAAGATTTATGTTTTGATTTTCGAAATATATATCTTAAAAAGCATGACTTAGGATCTATGATTCATGTATCTAACAACCTCGTGCAAACTCCGATTTATTATTAAAATGAAACTCAACTCGTAGGAAAATGGAAAACAATGAAGAACACCCACTTTCGTCAGCATATTGTTATATTATGAGCAAATATTGTACCCAATTTTGTTAGTGTACTATACTTATTCAGAATTTTAAACCAACCATGAAAAGTTAAACTTTCTTTAATGAGTTCGAGACATTTTCGTCGCATTAACTCGATAGTCTGATGTTTCTCGTTTAGATATCACACCACACCCTTTTAGTATGTGAGAGTAATATCTATTTTTCTTTTACTTTTGTAAAGGCTTATACCTTGAAAAGCAAGAATAACAAAACAACTTTGTGATTTTTCTCGTAACAAACTAGTAGGAAATTTAAATGAGGTCTGTCATAAGACAACCCTCATGATTCTAAACTCTTAATAAACTACTTAGACATGATAAAACTTAAAGCATGCATACAAATAAAAGATAGAGACATACACATGATGAAATAATAAGCAATTAAAAGTAAAACTTGTATTGCAGTAAATCTCGCTGTTACAGATTGCTTTAAGGAAACTTTTACGACAAGCAACTGATAGGTGGCTTTTATGCGTTATTTTGCCGTTAGTTTTAGTTAATCTTCTTATATGTTTAGTTGTATTTTATTTTCGTTTACCGCATTTTATACTTTGGTTATGTCTTTCCAGTGTTTTTAGGTTCAGGTGAGCATTCAAGAAGAATCAGAGCGAAAACAAAAAAAATTGTAAGAATTCCGAAAGCCAAAATTTAGAACCGAGGGGCTGACACGACCGCCCGCGTCAGCATGTCTGGCATTGAGAAAGTTTTGTATAGATTACAAAGAGTCAGCATGGCCGACTGTGTTAGCTGACACAGTCTGTGTTGGCTTGGACAATGATTTTCCCGTTTTTGTGACTTTTCACTAAATGTTGACCTAGAGGAAATTTTTGGGATTTTCACCTACTGTTATTTGAGTTTTTCTATTTAGAAGTGTTTAAGGAAATGAGAGAGACACTTTTGACTGGAGAAGAATTACACGATCAAGATTTGAGAGATCAAGGTGATTGGAGAACAGAAGGTTTTCATGAGCGGAACCAATTGACGATCAAAGTAATCTTATTATCTTGTAATGTCTAGTTTTTACTTTGTATTTTATTTGAATATTATGAGTAACTAAACCCCCCAATGCTAGGGGGTGTTCCTAATTTGAATATGTAATGACTCTGATATTAGTATTGTAATAACAATTCTTTTGTTTTTCATAATTGATTTGATCTCTAGCTATTCTAAATGCTTGCCCTGTCGGACCAACAAGGTTTGATTTTTGGTTAACGATTAGGCTGGACCGCCGTTGTTAATTCTTTGCTTTGGATCATTCTATAGTAGATATCACCTAGGATTAGAGATACCCTATAGGAACCAGAACATTCTTGATAATTGATTGCTTAATTTAATTTGTAATTCTCTATGGACATAGAAATTAAGATGGATGATTAAAGGTTTTCTCACTAAGGAATTAGGAGTAAACATTCTAAAGAATCGATAGTTGGTTAGTTACAATAAGTTGTTGCATTGTAATTCAGAGTTGTTACTGAGTCAGATTATATACCATCTCTAGCATAATTTACTCATATATTATCTAAACCACTCAAATACTTTCTTTATTTTTATGCAATTGTTTTATAAGTTCACCAAAAAATCCTCAACCCCAAATAATTTTATTTAATTGAATTGAATTCAGAAATCTAAATTGTCAAGCAGTTATTAAGATCGACATTCGGGGAAATCCTCTTTATTACTATATTATAAAAATAGTACACTTGCTATTTTCCCGATCAAGTTTTTTGCACCGTTGTCGGGGACTGTCAAAATATAGAGTTCTAATTTTAGTTCAATTGAAAATTTTTTACTCGTTAACTAAAATTTTATTTTCAGTTTTATTGTTGTTATTTTTATTCTGTTACTACTAATCTGCATCTGACATTTTTATGCGAGGAGAATCCTCAGCTAATTTCCTTTTAGACGCAGAAATTGAAAGAACGTTACACGCAAGGCGTAGACAAGCAAGACTGGCAAATTCAGAAGCAGAGCCTTCAGTTCAAGCACCAGAAGAAGAAAAAGTTTATGTTCATTCAGAGCATTCAAATTCAGGTTCAGAAACAGATATAGATATTATGATTATGGCTGAAGATCCACCAGCAGAGAGACTCCTTGGTGATTACGGTGGAGAAAATACACCGGCTGGTAGGTTAACAATTGTGAATCAACCAGTGAATGTGACAAATTTCTAGTTGCATCCAAGCACCATCACTCAACTTGAGAGGAGACCTTTCACCGGAAAGGTTAATAAAGATGCCAATAAACATCTGTAAAAACTTCTGACTATGAGCATTACTCTCAAGATTGATGGGCACACTGATGAAGCGAAAAAATTAAGAATGTTTCCGTTTACTCTTTCTACAGATGCTGAAGAATGGTTCTACTCGTTACCTTCCGGGAGTAATACTACTTGGGAAGAGACGGAGAAGGACTTTTTAAATGAGTATTTTCCCGCCTTTGTGTATATTCGAAAAAGATATGATATTGTGAATTTTAAGTAGAAGGAAGGGGAATCACTCGGTGATGCCTATAAAAGGTTCAAGAAGGTTTTGGTAGCATGCCCTACTCACAACATGGATCAAACTGAACAAATGAAGATGTTTGTGAATAGCCTCAGGATAAAGACTAAGCAACTCATTGATATAGCTGCGGGTGGCTCATCAAACTTTACAATAGCCACTGGTACTAAGAAGATCATAGAAGCTATTGCTGCAAATGAACATTTGAAGTTATATGAACGAAGTGTGAGTAAATTCGAGGGTGTGATTAACTTGAAACTTGCAAATCAAGTTGTAAAGATAAAAGACCAAGTAGCGACTGAAGTAGAGAGAAGACTCAAGGGCATGAATTTAGGTACTCAACAAGTAGCTCAAGCTCAAACCGGTCAAGCTGTGAACTGTGAGATTTGTAATGTATCCTACTTTACTGCACACTGCGTTGTGACTATGCAACAAATTGAAGAGATTAAGTTTCTAAAGAAAAATAATTCATATTCTCAAACATATAATCCAGGGTGGAAGAATCATCCTAACTTCTCATGGAAAGATCATAATCAACTTTAATACCAACAACAAGCTCCTCAGAAAAAAGAGCGGGAGATATCAATTAAAAAGATGACAGCTCACAACATTCAATTCCAAGAAGAGACCCGAAATAATCAGAGGAACACCACAACATCTATAAAAAATATGGAGGTTCATATGGGACAAATAGCACAACAACTCTCCATGCAAGCTTAAAGAACCCTCCCGAGCGCGACAGTACCAAATCCAAAAATCATGAGAATGTTAATATTGTCACAACAAGAAGTCAGAAAGTTGTTGAAGAAGAGGAAGAAAGGGGAACAAATGATTATCAGTGTATAAAGGTGGATCTAGAAGTGAGAGAAAACAGTAAAGAATCAGAAAGAGCTTTACCGCCCGTGAAGCCAACTGAAGAGAAAAAGAAAGAGGAAGCTAAACCAAAGATCAAGCTACCTTATCCTCTGAGAGTGACAAAGAAAGATCTAAAGGAGAAATACTTTGACGAATTTTTCACGATGTTCAAAAAGTTAGAGATCAATATGCCTTTCTTTGAAGCACTCGAGCAAATGGCCACATGCAAAAAATTCATGAAAGAGGTAATCGGTAAAAAGAGACCAATGGGAGAGGAGCAGCAAATTTTAACTGAGAAGTGTAGTGAAATACCACAAGGTAGGAGAATCCCTATCAAGAGGAAAAATCCCGGATCTGTAGCTATCCCATGCACTATAAAGAACATAACTTTCAAGAAGGTCCTAATTGATTCAGGCGCTAGTGTGAGTCTCATGCCATTATCTATTTTTAAAAAGATGGGTATTGAAAAGGTGAGCAATTTTAAAATTT